AAAAGGTTGGCAGTTTAAACCCACCCAGAGGTCACTCAGAAGAAAGTCCTGGAGAAATTTTCCTAAGTTTGCCACTGAACCCTAGTTCCGAGAGATCTTAGTTGATAAGCAACAGGAACAAGGGAACAGTTTTGGGAAAAGAAGTCACAGAAGGATTGGGGATCTGGAGTCTGAGCATGACCACAGCCTCTTACATAGGTTACATGACTGTTGCTGTCTCCACTTGAGGTAGAAAGTCCAAGGACCAGAGCTATGAAAATTTCAGTGTCTCCATGAATGGTGTTCTTCAATTGCAAGATACAAGTTCCTCCATTCAGCGGGGGGTAGTGTGCTCAGTACCAGAGCAATGTGATCCTTTCCCTTCAGCCCATCCTTCATCCTACTGGATCCCACAGAGAACACTGCAGAGAACACAGGAGTCCTCTCATCAAATCACATCCATGAACAACACAGAAATTTCAAAATTCCACACCCGTTTCAATGTTGTGCAATGACCCAAACACAGGTCTGAAGATATCATTAATGGTACAGCTTGCTTTTCTCTCTAATCGTGTTTCACATTTATTTGAGGGTACTCAAGTCACTACAAGCCTATGGACTCAATAATAGCTATTAATTATCGAGTCCCAAGTAAATTAAGACTCTTCTCGCTTATGAAATTGGGGGAAACTCTTTATCATAAATACATTTCCAAAGTGTTACGTAGCTTACACAAGAACCAAAGGGAAAGAAAGTGCCTCCTATTTTTAAAGGGTAATTTTGTGTATTTAATCAAATAAGTAAAACTGAAAGTAGGTCACAATGTCTTTACTGAAGGCACTAAAATTAGCATACTTAGAAAGCTAAGGAAAAAACCATATCGGATAACTTTGCATGATAAATGAAGGTGAGCTCTAAGGCAGTCCCAGTATGGGAAGAAGACGGTAGGAAGACTTCTTGGGAATCCTTGAAAGTCTTCCCTCTCTTCCAAATTTCGGAGCGTCACAGTTCCAGCTCTCCGACATGAAGAGCCACTTCACCATATAATTTCTCGCATCAGCTCTAGTATTCATTCTTCCCTGGAATCTATTAGACAATGGGAAATTGAAAAGTCTATGATTTCACCTTTTCTGACTTGTATGCATCATTTTCACCAAGTTAATACAATTTTCTTCATTTTTGTTCAAATCCTGATGCAGCCTTGGTACTTATTCTAATATACCTATGTTATATATTTTATATCAGAAATATAGTGAAAATGTTAACATTCTCTTTTTCTTACTTCATACACATAAAAAAGCATTTTCTATCTTTATATCATAGTTATCTAAATTATAATTTGTAATAATTGCATGTTATTTCTTCCTGCAAATAAAACTTATGTATTTATTAATTCCCCTTCAAAACTGAGCATTGGTACACTGACAATGATTCCAATAATATTGTTTAGGTTAATACTGGTGAAGGGAAAGGCAATACACAATATGGGAGAAGTCCATACAACATGACCAAGGCAAGAGAGGACATGGAGGGAAACGCAGGAATGAAGGACAACTATGGTAACTACTACAGCATAGACAATCCTCCAACAATAGAATCAACAAACAATAATCTACGAATGGATATATATAGATAGATATGCCAGGAGGTGAGGGAGGGGGTAAGGGAACACACTCACCAACCGATACAGGTTTGGAGGTAGAAATTTCAAAATGCATGATTGTAGGTGCTCTTCATATATTAATATAAACAATAGAGCACACAAGAGGCACAATCAGGGAAACCTCTTAGACAACTCCTCACTGGATGAAGCTCCCAGGCTTGAAGGCAAAGGACCATAGACTTGGGGGACATTTATGTCAATTGGCACAACATAGTTCTTAAAGATAATATTCTATAGCCTACTCTGGTGAGTAGCATCTGGGGTCTTAAAAGGTTGCGAGTGGCCATCTGAGATATAATTATCAGTCTCTTCTAGTCCAGAGCAAAGGAGAGGGAAAAAAACCAAAGACTCAAGAGAGCAATTAGCCCAAAGGACTAATGGACCACATGAACCACAGCCTACACGACCATGAGACCAGAAGAACTAGATGGTGCCTGGCTACCACTACCGACTGCTCTGACTGGGATTACCACAGAGGGTCCCAGACAGAGCGGGAGAAAAATGTACAACAAATGTTCAAATTCACAAAAAAGACCAGACTTACACAACTAATCTTGTAGATCAAGTCCTGCCTCATTAACATAACTGCCTCTAATCCTGCCTCATTAACATCATAGAGGTAAGAATTATGACATATAGGATAATCACAACAGATAACAAAATGGTGAACAATCACATAATACTGGGAATCATGGCCTAGCCAAGTTGACACATATTTTTGGGGGACACGATTCAATCCATGACAGCTTCCAACCAGGAGAGCTCTCTCAGCTGCTCTCTGCCGTGCTAGCAGCCTCCTGTCTGCTGTGCTAGCTGGACCCTCTCAGCCGTGCAAGCAGGGCCCTCTTGTACATGCAAGCAGGCCCATATTAGCCGCGCACATGCCCTCTCAGCCATGCAAGCAGCTCCCCCTTGGCCACGACACCCCTTCTCTGCCTTGAGGTCTATCGGCCATCAGGCCTAACATTGGGCCTCCCCATCGACAGCTTCTCCACTGCTAACCTGCCCAGCTCAGAGCCAGTGTGGCAGCTTGCTCAGCTCTCTTTAGCTGCTTTCCTAGCAGAGACTTTCTGTTGTAACCACCAGCTGCACAACCAGGCCCCTTCCAGGACTCTCACCCACTGCTCTCTGAAGTCGGGCCCCTTCTGGGCTCCTCACCATCTTCAGTGTTACAGCCCTGGACCAGTATTAGTTTTCTTAGGAGGGTCCCGTTGAAGGAACCCCCGGTACCGATTGCCCTGCTCCAGGCTCTTATTGGTCTTGAGGTTCCCTCCTTGCCTCTAAAAATCTCTGTGGAGTTGGCTTCTTATACAAGCAAACTTCTTGTCAATTTCAAGGTATGGCCCTCCCAGCAGGACCACAAATCGGTCTATCCTCTTGGTAGACTGCAAGGGTGGATTTTCAAGCCACTATTTTCAGTGGTTAAGAGCTAGGCTGCTAATCAAAAGGTCAACAGTTCAAATCCACCAGCCGATCCTTGGAAACTCTATGAGGCAGTTCTACTCTGTCCTATAAGTCCGCTGAGTCAGGATCTACTTGACGGCAACGAATTTGGTTTTTGGTTTTTATTAGAATAGTAAATCAACTAATCCCTTGCAAGATTGTGTCCCAGTCAATCATTTTGGGAAAGTCAGAAGCCCATGAGATACCAATCAACTTAGGTCTTGTACAAAAGTTTAACAATTTCCTGTGGCAGAGAACTGGCTTCTGCCCTGGGCAAAAGTAATAACCCTCTGGAGTAGAAAGCAATCTAGGAGGTCCCCCAAGTAGTATGCCAAAGAACTAGGGCAAAAGTAACTCCTCAGGACTTAATGGGGAAAATATCCCAAGCTGTTTTTCCAAAGAACCAAAAGGCCACGTACAGGTACTCATTGTACCAGACCCCTTTATAAAGACAGATTCTAATACTGCTCTCAAATCACAGCATAATGAGTGGAACTCCCAAGATTAAGGTGCTTAAATGAAAAGGCCTTTATCATTGCACACACCAGAGCATGTTCAGCAGGCGGTTCCCAGGTTGGCGACTTGGAAGCTAAACATACTCATTTCAAGCATCATGTGCGACTAGCAATATCCCTGAAAAAAAAAAATCCTTCTTGTCGACATCAGCACAACTCAAATTGGGTCCTCTGGGCTGAAACTGGGTCAGATATGGGCCTTAACTAGTCAGAGACAACGGAATTAGGGACCCTATCACCTCCGGATACTCATGATTTCCTCCAGTGAAGAGGTGGGCAGACATCTGCTTTCCTGAGCACTTTGGGATAGTGACTGATGCACACTGTGGGGACCTACCAGGTGGTAAATGTGAAATGGCTTATAACAGAAACTGGAAGCGATAAAAATCTGGCAAGGGTACTGGGCAGGTCAGAAAGTGCCATACAACTTCTGAAGGCTTCCCACATACCAAAAACTCATGTGGCCTCTCCCTTCTGTGTATGTTTTGAATGTAGGATGTTTAATTCAAGTAGATAATACCCTCACAAAGACTCTCTCCAGTATTATACTAAACAAAGAAACAGCACATTCCCTGCACATCTAAGACCTTTATCAGTGTGAATTCTCTAGTGATAAATGAACTCAGATTTACAGCTATTTAAAAAATTTTTTAATTTTGTTGAGAATGTACACAGCAAAACATACACCAATCCAAGTTTCTACATGTACAATTCAGTGACACTGATTACATTTGAATTGTGCAACCATTCTTTCTCAGTTGTTTCTACCCTATTAACATAAACTCACTGTCCCCAAAGGTTTCTATCTTTCGAGTTGCTATTGTGAATTAGATCTCTTATAGTTCTTAAAAGGGTGTAATGCTCAAGGCAAACATTTTTTTCTAGTTAGGCTAAACTACTGTTTGGTTTTAAGACTTCAGGGGATATTTTTGGTTTAAGGTTTAAAGATTATCTCAGGGCAAGTTTCAGGGGTTCATCCAGTCTCGATGGCTCCAGAAAAACAAGGCAAACGTATAGAGACCAAAGTTTATTAGTAGTTACCAGGGGCGGGAGGGAGGGGAAAGAGGTTACTGCTTATGGAATACTCAGTTTCTGTTTACAGTGATGGAAAAATCGCATTGATTATGGGTAGGGTTACACAGCCAATTATTTTAAGCGCTGTCAATAAGTGGTATACCTGTAAAAAGTTGAACTGGCAAAAGTAGTGTGATATATTTATACCGATGACAAAAAAAAAA